CTTACACGCCTGTTATCCTCGCTGCTTCCGTAGTGTTCACACATGAGACGGTGGTGTCATGGGGTTGCGCAATCCCATAACGCCACAATATATATGGTGATTTTTTTATCTTGCAACAACTAAATATCTTGAAAACGAAGAATCGTATCCAGAAGTGTTCGAATAAAAATTGTTTGTCTCGGAGGGGTCTATTGGATGATACCAATCTCGACCTGCCACCTTCACCCCCTGAGGGTGGGGGTGGGGTAACTTGCGAATTTCAAATGGGAAACCCTATTTTCTTATAGCGTATTCGAATTCTCCGCAAACAAATACGTAGATTTTGTTTTGAAACATTTTGTTTTCTAGTAGATGGCGCTGTAATCGTAGAAAACACAATTTGTCGCAATTCTGGTGAAATTGCACCCGGGGGTGATGAAACATGATGGTGTTTTTAAGAATCTTATGTAGTATTGATAAGAATGAGCATTCCCCCCAACATCTGATAGAGAGGAAGAGGGTAACTTTTTCAAGATATTCTTGCTAAAACGTTCCAAAATTTTAAAAAACGAAAATAGAGTTTTTGAAAATTTTAAGTTTTTAAACATAAAAAAATTGAATAAACATTGCGAGATGACATTATCGGAAATCGATTGCGTCTTGTGTACGTCGAAAAGTACAACTACCATTTTTTGAATTGCGTATCTTCAGTCCTTGGTCTCCTTCCATTTCGTGCACTTCGGTTCCCAGTTTATGATCTGCTTCCATTGAATGCACATCGTTCTTCATTTCCTGGTCTGCAACGATGGGGAGCACATCATTTTTTTTAGTTTTAGTACGCTTTTATTCGCCACGCACCGTCCTTGGCTTCTTGAATTAGGTTACCTCAGTTTTTGATCTCCTTTCAATCGGTGCGTATCGTTCCTTTTGAGTCAGGTTCCTTCAGGTCGAGATTGGTATTGACCTCTTATCCAATAGGTCCCTCTGAGACAAACCATTTTTATTCGAAACATTTCATCTTCGATTCTTAGTTTTCAAGATATGTAGTAGTAGTCTCAAGATAAAAAAATCACACTGTATATATATATATATATATATATATATATATATATATATAGTGACATACCTTCAATGCGGTACTATTCAGTACATTTTTTAGAAGGGACTGGTGACTTGGTTCATGAATAGGCCTCTCAAGGTTTGGCGAAAACATTGGAAAAACTCAATTATCATTTTTTCAAACAAACACTTTATTACTAAAATTACAAATTTAGTACATCAATTCCAGTCTTATCACTTCCCGTTTTGGTAACAAAACTATACCTATGAGCTCAGATTAGACAATACCTTTAATACCATAAACCGTTCGTTTCTTCTCGGATGCTCCCCAGCGGCTGCGACGATCGGCGCCCGTCGGACGGTTGACCATCGCTTGGAGGCCCGTGGCCCCTGTTCTCCGCGACGGTTACACGACACCTTTGCTTCGACCCCGACCGTTGTCAATTTATTTCAGATCCGGTATGCACTCACTCAATATCACTGTCAACCTATCTTTTATTGGTTTAATCAGTTCTCCCTTGCTGCACAACTTACCAGTTCTACTTCGTTTACCTTTCACAATCATGTATACACGTGGCAAATATCCACTGCAGTTACCAGCCATGCGGTCTATAGTTTTTACTTTGCAACCACAGTTTCCGACACATATTCCGCTTGTTCAAGCTTACACTATTTATTACCGGCCACTGCCACACTTCATTCACTCCCTAATGATATCTCTTCCATTATTTAACTTCACTTTGTTCCTTTTTCGCCGCGCGCATCAACACTTCTCCGCTCTCCTTGGAGTTCTGTTCTTTGCTAACCGTCGTCGTCTCGCCCGGTCTCGCACCTGATGTCAGCTACTCGCCGCCGTTCCCGCGGAATTCGAAGTACATGAATCTAAGGAAACTCACCGGGTTTCAATGTATTTTAGAGAAACGCACTGCGTTTCTCTCTATACA